GCACCTGGTTTCCTCCAGATTTCACCCGATGCACCCCACCCTTTGCTGATATTGGTTTATATCCTTTTGTTGTAATAAAACATAGCTGAAAGTATGACGTTCTGCTTAGTTCTATGAGTCCTCTTAGTGAATCATCAAATACGGGAGTAGTTTTGGGAACCCATGACACAACCGATAAGACCAGTCTAATCATGGCGAAAACATCAGGCAAATCTCAGTTGAAGGGTCTTTTACAAAATACCTAACTAGTACTCCTCAAAACTGCCAAGGTCATCAAAACAGAGAAAGTCTGAGAAAATGTCAAGAGGAAACTAATGAGGCATGACAACTAATTGTAAGGTGGTATCCTGAAACAACGAAGAAAAGAATATTAGGTAAAAACTAAAGAAATCTGAATACAGTATAAATATTAATAATAATGTATTGATATTGGTTCATAAATTGTGACAAATGTATCATACTAATGTAAGATATTAACAATCCAGGAGACTATGGGTGGAGCATTTGGGGACTCCCTGTACTATCTTCAAATCTTTTCTATAAATCCAAAACTATCCTAAAATAAAAAAGACTCTTTAAAAAATACTTGAGCATCTATTATGTACAAAGTACTGTGCTAAGCATCAGAAAACTAGATCTATATAATTACTTCAGGTAAAGGCATTATCAATCATTAGTTATTTTGTTCCATACCTGCTCATTTAGCTGTATGCTAGCAGAAAGGCCAAATTAAGATATTTAGTTTTATTTATTTAACTTGACTGCACATTTATATCTTATTATTCTAGATGATGACTTCCTAGAAGGTAGAATAAAATTAGAATTATCAACTTACTGAGCATGTCCTAGGTATTTTTACAATCATAAAATAAACAAACAAACTTACACTGAAATAATAATTTGACAGAAAGTAGAGTCAGTAATACCTATCTGTTTCAATATATGACTAAAGGTCACGATGTTCTTTTACTCTATTCATTGTCTTCTTTACTAAACGACTATTTTGTGACTTTCTATGTTTAATAAAACCATAAGAAACGTATTATAAACTCAAAATTGTCACATTTTCATTACTGCAGCTTTTCATTTCAATAACCATTAATTTTCTCCTTGAGGAAGAGAAGAATGAATGGGGAATAATTCTCCAATATTTCCACTGCATAGATAATCAAGTATATATTGGGAGTGTGATTTGTATAAGATTTTAAGATGATGAATCAAGAGATGAAATATTAAATGGGCTCCTTTAAAAACTGTAAAAATTTCAAAATGACCCCTACATGCAGATCCATGAAAATGAAACTTAGTGCCTTTGTGGAAGATATATCTTTGCTAGATAAAACCAAATAAGCAGGTCTTCAATACAACTTATTGGCTTCTATTATCCCCAGTGTCTAAATCATACCTTTTTAATAATATAAGTCCCTTAATTCATTTAGCTCGCTGAAAATAATGTAACAGAATTATTGTAGATGACTCAGTGATTTATTACAAACCATGATATATGGTCAATTATTTTAAATTTTCAAGTACAATACTCCACAGACACATAAGGCAAAACTCCCTCTTTTCACAACAGCGTCCTCTGGCCTTAAAGAGACATCTTCTTTTACTCATATTAAATAGGCCAAAAGGTAAGAAATGCAAATACAGTAGAATGAAATGCTGTTTAAATAGAATTATTTAGAAATACTAAGAAATACTAAGCAACTATACTAATGGTAGCTTTAGTTTCCCTCAATTCAGTGAAAAAATTGTTTTGCTCTAGGATTAAATGTTTTATTAATTTTCTCAAAATGCTGATATATTGGCAATTTCCTAATTACACTAATAACTTAGATAAACTAGATGGACCAAATGAAGTTGCAAAACAAATTAGAAAAAGTTTTAACTGCATTAAAATAAAAATACCACATAATAAAACTTATAGTATACAGCTAATGCAGTAAAGGAAATTTATAGCATTAAATGATAAGGTAAGAAAAAAATCTCAAATCAATAATAGAAGTTTCTATCATAAAAATATTAGAAGGACAAATAAACTCAAAGCAAAGGAAGTAAAGAGAAGAAATATATGTAAATATATACATATTTACATATAAACAAATTTTGAAAACTGTAAAACAATTTTAAAAACAATAAAAACAACTGAAAAAGTTGTTTCCTTGAAAATATCAATAAGCTTAACAAACCTCTAAGCAAGACTGAAAAAAAAGGAGAGACGCCATCATTATCAGGATTGAAAAGAGGTTATCATTATAGACCCAATAGACATTAAAATAATAACAAATAAGGAATACTATGAACAATGTTACACATGTAACTTTGACAACTTGAATAATTCTTCAAAAACAACATCAAAATTTGCCCAATATGAAGTAGATAACCTGGATTGTCCTGTAATTATTAGATAAACTGCATTCATAGTTAAATGCCTTTCAACAAAGAAATCTCCAGGCTCAGGTAGTTTCACTATGAAACATTTAAGTAAAAAAATGTTATCCTCGGCCAGGTGCGGTGGCTCATGCCTGTAATCCCAGCACTTTGGGAGGCCGAGGCAGGTGGATCACGAGGTCAGGAGATCGAGACCATCGTTGCCAACATGCTGAAACCCCATCTCTACTAAAAATAAAAAAAAAAAAAAAAAATTAGCTGGATGTGGTGGTGTGCGCTTGTAGTCCCAGCTACTCAGGAGGCTGAGGTAGGAGAATCACTTGAACCTGGGAGGCAGAGGTTGCAGTGAGCCGAGATTGTGCCACTGCACTCCAGTCTGGCAACAGAGTGAGACTCTATCTCAATTAAAAAAAAAAAAAAGTTATCCTCATTATTTTCCAGAAAACACAAAAAAAGACAACTAACTCATTTAGTTATATTCTCAGAGTATTATATACTCTATTATATACTCTATATTATATAGAGAGAGTATAATACTCTATATACTCAGAGTATTATATACTCTGGTACCAAAATCAGACAAAGATATTACAAAGAGACAACTTCAGACTAATATTCTTCATCAACAGAGGCATAAAAAAATCCTCAAAAATGATTAGCAAATAGTATCTAGTAATACACATAATAATATAGCATAACAAAGTGTAGTTTATGGTGGGAATGCAAGACTGGCTCAATATTTGATAGTATATTATATTAACATTGAAAACACATGATCATATCAACTCATACAGAAAAAGCATTCTACAAAATTCAACATCCATTCATGAGAATATTATCAGCAAACTAGAAATGAAAGAAAATGTCCTCAACCTCAAAAAGAGCATACAACTAACATTATATTCAATGGTGAATGCATGCTTTCCTGCTAATATCAGGAAAAAGACAAGGATTTCTGCTCTCAACATTTTCATTCAGCATTATACTATAATGAAGAATTGGAAACTAAAATTTAATAAAACATTAGCATTTAGCAACAGCATTAAAAAGAATAGGAATAAATCTGACAAAAGACATCAAGAATGTATACTCTTAATAACACAAGATACAAAGTCAAAACAAAAATAGTGTTTTTAAACATCAGCAATAAATAATTGTAAGTCAAAAACGTTTTAAATAACAAGAACTCCTCTCAAAAGAAAAAATGCTTGGTATAAATCTAACTAAACATGCACAGGTTCTGAATGCTGGAAACTGCAAAATGCTGATGAAAGAAATCAAAGACTTAAATAAAAAGACATAAAAAGAAAGACAATGTTCACATATTACGAGAGTCAACATAGTAAAGATTTCAACTCTCCCCAGGTTTATCTGTAACTTCAATATAATTGCAATCAAAATCCCAACATGATGTTTTATAAATATAAACAGACTGATTTTAAGTTCTACATGGAAAGTCAAAAACTTAAAATAGCTAAACCATTTTGAAAAGAGTAATAAAGTCACAGGAAAAAAGGGGTACTAACAAAGCACAGACAAAAAGATGAACTGTACAGAAGAGAGTCCAGAAATACACCCACACATTTTCAGACAACTGATTTTTGACAAAGCTGCAAATGCATTTCAATGAAGGAAGGACATTGTTTTCAACAACTGGTGCTGAAACAATTGAGCATCTCTATGTAAAATAATAAACCCCTTAAGCCTCACAACTTATTAAAATTAATTTTAAATGAATCTTAATTCTCAACGTAAAACTTAAAACTATAAAATTTTTTGAAAAAACCATAGGAGAAAATCTTCATAACCTAGCATGAGACAGAGTTCTTAGATATAACAACAAAAGCATAATCTATTAAAACGTTTTTTGAGAAATAGGACATCATAAAAACTAAACAGGTTGGCTCTACAGGAAAAATAATTAAGGGAATAAAAAGAAAAGCTACAGACTGAGAGAAAATATTTACAAATCACATATCCATTGAAAGACTTGTATCCAAAATATATAAAGAACTCTTAAAAGGAAGAAAATAACCCAATTAAAAACTTAGTAAAAGATTGTATTTTTTGAGACAGGCTGGAGTGCAGTGGTATAATCATCGCTCACTGTAGCCTTGGTATCCTGGGCTCAAGCAATCCTCTCATCTCAGCCTCCCAAGTAGCTAAGACTACAGGCACACACCACCACGCCCAGCTAATTTTTTTGATTTTTTTTTGTAGAGATAAGGTCTTGCGATGCTGCCCAGGCTGGTCTTGAACTCCTGAACTCAAGCAATTCTCCTGCCTTGGCCTCTCAAAATGCTGGGATTATAGACATGAGCTGCCACACCAACCCAAAAGATTTGAAGACATTTAACTAAAGAATACATACAAAATGGAAAATAAGCACATATGGTCAGCATCCTTAAGGAAAAGCAAATTAAAATCATGATGTGATACAAATGTCTATATATTTGAATGACTAAAATTTTAAAATATTGAGAATATCAGTGCTTGCTTTCAAGGATACACAGCAAATAGAACTCTTTGCTGCTTGGAATGCAAAATTGTACAGCCATTCTGGAAAACAATTTGACAATTTCTCATATAAGTAAATATATACTTACCATATGATCCAGCAATCCCACTCCTGAGTATTTACCCTAGAGAAATAAAAAATTAGGTTCACACAAAAATATGCACATGAATGTCTGTAAAAGTTCTACTCATAATTGTCAAAACCTAGAACAACCTGCTTGTCCTTCAGCAGCTGAATGGATAAATTGTGGTTCATTCATACAATGGAATACTACTGAGCAATGAAAAACAACAAACTATAAATACATGCAACAACTTGCATGAATCTCATAGGCAATTTTACTGAGTAAAAGAGGCCAGTCTCAAGGTTGTATACTATAGGATTCTATATTTTAACAGTATATTAATATTGTACAACATTATCAAAAAGACAAAAATAATGGAGAACACATCAGTGGTTTTCAGGGATTAGGAACGGGATGAACACGTGATTATAAAGGTACATAGCACAAGGGAGTTTTGGGAGTGATCAAAATGTTCTGTGTGCCCATTCTGTTGGTCATTACATATAAACCTTTACATGTGTTTAAGTCATAAAGCTGTATGTAGAGAACAATTTTATCGCATGATAATTTTAAAAATAAAAATGAAAAACGAAAGGACTATGCTGGATAAAAAAAAAGTTTGCTGGTTAAATGTGGTTCAGTGCTATGTCTTTCCCCAAAGTAGATGCTCAATTAACTTTTGCTAAACAAAAACCCTGAAAACTGGCTGTAATGTCTGCTTCAATATCCATCTCATTTACATCCCTAAGATTCAAATATTTAAATAACTTTTTGTACTGTCATTAATGCATTCTGTCATGGTACAGATCACTGAAAGATGTCTAGCTTACAAACATTTATTAAAAACCTCAAGTGAAAGTCAGAAATCCAGATATATCAACCAATTATTCTAAACTTTAAAAAAACTATCATTAATAATAGTAACTTTTACTTTACATATTATATGTTTATCCTCATTTTAAAAAAGGCAAGATCGATCTGTACTGAAGTCATTACTCAGACACAGTATCCCAAACAAGCATTTAATAAGTGTTCACACAATCTTTATTAAATATGGAATGCAATTGCACACCTATGCCATTAATTTGTCTCAGATATTTACTCTTTCTAGGATTTGCCTTTTTGCTTGAATTAGCAAAACAGACTTAAAAATTGTAATTATTCTGGTTCTAACTGCGATGTATACTTACATCACTAACACAAAATTTCTGTGCTGCTATACACTTCAAAATTTTCTGTGCTAAACAAACACTGGGTATTTGTTTGCCTGTAGCTTCTGTGCTACCAAACTCAGTAGGATCCTGCCATGTCACTTCCTATACTGACCTGTGACAACAGGTCTAAGACTCATTAATTCTGATCAATTAGCTAAGCTATATCATATGTATGTGAATGAATACAAATAACTTCATCTATACAAAAAAAAAAAAACACTTTAACTTTATACTTGCTTTGCTCTAAACTGTGTACGAGTATTCCTATGATGGAAAACGATCAATCATGTAGCTGAGGTTTTCAAAACTACCTAGCCTAAGAATTAAACACATTTTTAAATTGCAAAGATGTTATTTGCATATATTTACAGTATGAAGTATAATTTCATACTTCTTTTACATTTCTATTTGCTACAGAATTATTTTAGAGCCCTCTACATTACATTAATCATTTTGAAAATATTCTTTCTGAATATTCACTTAACTTATGACCATCTCCAATTTACCTATATATAGGTCAAGTCTCAATGAAAAATTTGAACTTTGCAGTTTCAGTTAAGTTAAACTATGAAGTATGTTATAATGATGCTAAAACACATTCATTTTTTACATTCTGTAATATATGCTTTGATGTCACATTACACTATCACTTGTAAACAAACCAAACTGAAATGCATTTTAGCAACCAAAAATATAATAAAAAATTACCTATAGAAATAATTATACTATATAACTGAAAGATGGCAAAAACACTCAATCTGAAACATTCAATGCAGTAATTTTATTATATTGAGTCAAAACTAGAATCATAAGCCATAAGTTTAGTTAACTATTTTTTAAAAATTTTTATTATAATTTAAGTTTTAGGGTACATGTGCACAACGTGCAGGTGGGACTGTAAACTAGTTCAACCATTGTGGAAGACAGTGTGGTGATTCCTCAAGGATCTAGAACTAGAAATACCATTTGACTCAGTTAACAATTTTTAAAAGAAAAAACTAATATATCAAGTTGCAGCTTTCTATATTTTAGTTCTGTTAATATACAACACACTGATTAATAAGGACACTATTATGAATAAGTAGATAATAAAGTCAGTTTGAAAAAAAAAAGTTTACTCAGAAACATATTGGTTCAAACTTTCAAATGTTCATGAGCATCTCATCCATTGGCTTTAATTGTTTTCTTTCCACAGCACCTAACATTTACTGTTCAGTTCCTTCACACATCCTACTCTGGAGCATATTACTATGGGCACTGAAGTAGATCAAATCATAGAGAAGCATAGTCTCCTACAAAATTACAGTAAGGGTAAACTACCCTTTAGATAATTTTCACAATTTAGCACAGTTAATCATAATTAGATCGTGTGAGCCCATGATTAAGGCTCCTTGAAATACCCACTTAACCTATTATAAAGTGATGAAAAGTGAATGACTTTGTCACCTGATTGAATTTACTTAGAGAAACATTTTTTTCAACCCAAAATAAAAAAAAAAACATTTTTAACCCAAAATAAAACCACTGCAAAACAATCCTAACATGTAAAACATTTAAAATATAGTAAAAAACAATCCAGTGTTAATTAGAGATTAATATCCCTCTAAAATATTACCAGAATTGGGAAAAAGGTTTTTTTCTAAACATGCATGAAGCATAGAGACTGGGTTATACATGCCAATTATAATACAGCTGCATGATTATTGAGTGCACTTAGAAATAGCATTTCCAGAATTATTAAAACCAAGTTTTTATTATACAGATGTTGAAAGTTAGCTCCACTCCCCAAACTCCAGTATCTATAATACAGATTTTTTAGTAAACTCTTTTGAAAAATATTACCTGTTTCTGTAGCCATCTTTCACGCCTTCGTTGTTTCCTTCTTAGATTCTTCAACTTGCTCCTTTCTCTCTTATTGAGCCTCTGATTAATGCTGCCCAGTGAAAAACTGGCTGAGTGCAGGAAGTCCAGAGGGGAGAGGTGCTCTTCCTGGTCTGAGGCCTCCAGCATGCTCCTGCCAGCTGAAGGCAGGTCCATCAGGAAAGTCAGATTGTTAGTATTAGTATGGTCAGAGTACACTGAAGAAGCTTCTAGACCACATTGAAATTCTCCTCCTCTTTGTGTCTGGGTCTCATGGGGGGCCACTGAAAATCTTTGCAGCAGCATACTAGGATCAAAACTGGATGGATTCTGAAAGGAACAGCTATTTTTACTAGATTGTAAAGGCAAGCCTGAAAGGTCAATAGGCTGCGTTTCATTTAGTCTGGAATAGGCAGTAGTCTTACTATGTATTTCATATAAAGTGGGTAATAAAGTCAGTTTCTCACTGATGTTCAGATCCAGACTATGTGATTTTCTATGAAAAGCTCTTGTAGTGCATCTGCCAGTCACAAGCTGGGGAACAAAAAGCTGGTATTTTGGTTCTGATGCTTTGGAGAGCAGTTTTTCATTCTTCATCTCAAAATATGTTGATCGCACCTCCAGGCAGAGTGCTTCTGTTAATCTTCCAGGGTCATTATTATTTCGGGCCATGTTTAAAAGCCTGTGATTTCTGTTTTTAGAGCCACCACCTGTCAGCAGAGCTTCCTTGTCACAACCTGACTGAACTCTAGGATGTGACAAGTATTTCAGTGATGGTCTCATTAGTCCGCCTGCCTGTGCTGGCTGATAATCGGTCCGGCTCTTGGAGAGATGTACAGCTGCAAGCTGGCCACAGGAACATTTTGGAGTGCTGACAAAATTAAAGCCCCCTAAACGGGCCCCACAGAAAGGGCAATTCAGTTTTCCAACTGTCCACTGGGCCTACAGGTAACAAAGAAAAATAAAGACAGTGCTTTCATTATAAAGAAACCGAAGATAATTTTTTTTTTCTTTACAGCCAGCCACATGAAAGTTTTCTATGCCACAGAAAGGCTAGCTTTCTGTTTTCTGATTAGTAGACTGAACAGCAAATAAAACAAGCCTTCCAATAAATAAAGATAAGCAGCGCCAAAGTGTTAGAATAACACATTGCAAATCATGCCCAAGCAAACAATACTCCTAAGAATTCTAAATGAGAGTCTCTTGAACAATAGGTTAAATATGGATACAGTGTGAACTAAAGAAAAATATGCTATGGAACCAGGAAGCGAATCAGTGGACAGAGCTTAATTTGCAAGTAAAATCTCACAGAAAAGTGTCTGTTTTGATACACTTCTTGCATACCAAGCACTGTGGGAGGGAACGTTACCCAACGAAGAGAATAAAGCTCTTCCTGGCTTTTTACATACAACCAAAAGATATTGATTGCATACATCAGACAGTGCATTTTCTATACCTAGATTGGAAATTAATAATGAACTGTCTTAAAATTATCTTTTCAACTGAGATAGTGAAATATCTGCAGTGTCCTAATATATTTTAAGTTCAGGACACTTATAAACAGTGCACTGGCATTCTCCTAGAAAATTGTTACAGTGTGAGAAGGGATATCAAATGTTATTTTTTAACAAAAAATTAAGCTGCTCAGAGGAGAAATGTAATTATATATTTCCAAAGTCCTACTACTTCTAATTTTCTAAGACAGGAGTTTTGAATTGTAAAAAATAACTATACATACAAGGTCAGTTCTCGCTCTTACAATGTTTCATTAAGGATCCTTTAAAGTGTAGAATTTTCAATTTGATTATACCAGTGAAGGTCATTAATTATCCTATTTTGTATGTTTGTGCATTTATGTGTATATATATAGATATGAATAACACATACAGAATATTCCATTTATTGAACAGGACCTATTCTTGGTGCTGGGAAATACAAATGAATAAAAATATAAAGTCCCTGACTTCATGGTGCTTATATTCTAGGGTGCGAGCTAGGCAATTAACAAGTTAAATAAGCTATATGTGTATGTAGGTAAACATGTATATGTGCAGATATAATATATATATTTATGTCATACATATGCTTCTGTATAAGTAACATATATTACATGTGTGTATATGTGTGTGTAAAATACAGATAGGTATATAAAGCAGAGAAAGGAGAAAAGAAGTGTGAAGAGGGGTAATGGGAGTGAGGAACAGTAAGAGGTTGGCCAAGCAATGCATCTAAGAAAAACAGCTCTAAAAGGAGGACAAAAACATTCTGAAGGTTGTATATTCTTAATTTTACTCAGAAACTAAGAACTTACTTTTTGGATCAGGCAGTTTATCCATTCTGGGAGGGCTTCTATATTCATGTGCCACACATGGCAAATATTTTGAGCATCAACTGAATCATCTGTATCCTGTTAAATAAAAATAAATATTACTAATTACCAGTTCAGAATTTATTTCACAGGTTTCATATTTAAGTAAAACTCAAAAATACAGTCTATTTTAGTTATAAAGCAAATATACACTGCCTTCCCTTCCTAACTCCCATAATAAAAAAACAAGCCCACAAAAAAGATCTTTTTAAAATTTCTTCAGAGAATAACTACCCGTGATTTAAGACAAAGCCCTTCCATCTCACTGAGGTCATCAAATGAAATTTACAATTTAGCAGTCAGTTACTGAATGAACACATCTAGTGCCTTTTTCTGCATGTGAGACAAAATAGTGTCTTTCATGGAAACTTTCTCCAGCCCCAAATCTCTATTCTATCTGAATTCTACTAACGACAGAATAAAGTTGCCACATTCTCTATCAAGATGCTAGATGAATGTGCAGAAAGATGGGGGAGTAGAATGATGGGATTCAGGACACACTACCCCAAAATAGGCCTCCTTGGCATACTGAAAAACAGCAGAGGCAGGAAGGTCTTACTAACCTTTCCCCTAACCTTTTCCCCTGAAGCAGGTCAATAACCTAGGAGGGATTTTCTGACCTCGCATAAAGTATGTCGTAAGACTCTTATGTGAGAGATGCTAAAACTGTCCTTATAAACTTTATAAATTAACCAAGGAAGAACAAGGGGACAAACAAAAATAAGCCAAGCTTGCAGCACATTGAGCATTAATCCCCAGGTCTTCTTGCTCTCTGACCTGCTTCCTCATGGCTATTTGGTGCCTATTGCCCCAAATCCCACAGATCCTAGATTACAGTTTCCCTTAACTGCTCTATAGGTAACAACTTCAACATTATGAAACTCAAAGTTTCCCTTTGAGATATTCCTCTAGGTCCTGAATACCAATGAAACTATTAACACCAGCTGGACTGAAAAATCCCATTGATGCCAGCTGCTCTGAATGAAGGATACCACCAGAAGTTGACTCACCAAAGAATGTAGTTTCCACATCCTGATGATTTCATCCCTCATTCCCCAACCAATCAGCCACCCCAATTTTCCAGTTCCTCACTCTCCATGGTCTCCTTAAAAATCCCAGCCCAGAACTCCTCAGGGAGATGAAGGATTTGAGGGTCTCTTCCCATCTCCTCACTGGACTCCTTGCAATCATGACATTCTTTCCCTGCTGCAAATCCTGCTACTCAGTGTATTCATCTGTTACTACACAGTGGGCATGTGAAACTGTTAGTCGTATAACAGTGCCATCCCGTACACCAGGATAAAGGTATCTTCAAAACTTCATTTGAAATTGGCCCTCTAAGTAAGTTTACCAATTCATCTAATAAACTGGGTGGGAAGAGGTGTACTTCAGTGCAAGTCTGTATATGGATAAGCATATTACCTTTTGAGAGGTAAATTCTTCAATTTTAGCAAGAGAAGAGAAACTTAAAAGTCACATTCTATCTCCACTGTTCAGCAGCAAGCAAACTGCATGAAAACAAATACCCTAGAATGATTTTTTCATAAACCCACAACATAATACAAATATAAACTGATGTTATCAGATTTTCCCCCTCAAAAGAGAAATTCTGGCATCTTCAATCATTGATAATCCTAGGGTTCCAAACTTTAATTATTCTAAGAAATCTGTGGATGCCAATTTCTACAGAGAGTTTGAGAGAGAATATCAACACTCTGGTAAGTTAAAGGTTCTCTTTTGACTAGCACTGAAGAAAAAAGCCTGCATCAAGATCATGAACTCCATGAAGAGCCACCTTAGAGGAGTATTTCAAAAAATATGGTCCTTAGATCACTAGCATTAGACGTGAGTTGGGTTACTTACTAAAAATTTATACTTGTGGGCTACACCTAAGAGTGTCTATAAATAAATTCCTACTTATGATTTTCATATACACTAAAGTTAAGAACCCAGAGACATCATTTTTTGTGTTCGATTTTGCGTGCTTCTGTCATTTGCCTTTTCTAAGTTCTAATAGCGATTTATTTACAATAACAGTTCAGTCATGACTAGCTTTTCTCTCCAACTCATATATAAAATTTTTAAAGAACATTGGGAAACATATTGGAAGTGACTCAATAAAACTAAACAGTATAGCTTTATCTATTTTGCCCCAGAAACAAAATAAAGGTATGGATAAGTTTTTGAAAAAGTAGAATTAATTTTGCGAAACATCCATATTCATACACACTAGCTCCTTTCATTAGGAGCTGACAGTTATGAAGATTAGTATAACTCTAATGAATTCTTTAAAACAATCTTATAGAGAATACAAACTGAAATTGGCAAACGAAGTAACCTTTTCATTATCAGATCCAGAATTTTGCTCTGACTTTTCAAGATTATGTCTACATACAGAGGAAGGAAAGAAGGGTGGGAGCGACAGAGGGAGGGAGGAAATTTCTACACTGGTAGAAAGAACAACAGATTATCAATGTCAAAATAGTTAATGGCACTCAATCTATCAATATTTATTCAGTGATTACTAAATACAGTGTTGACCACACAAAGCAAGCAGAGACATACTTATTAATATGCCAGGGATTGTGTTGCATAAAGGTACTTCTATCATTTGTATTAATGTTTTAATATTTCACTGTTCTATGTCTTATTTTACTATGTACATTTCATTATTTCATTTAATCACATAAATTTATCATTTTTTAATCACACAGTATTGATCATAACACTAAAAAACCACTACCCACTATAAATTTCAGAAATGCTCTATGAATATTCCTATGAGAATAAACACTGGAGTCACAGTTGTAGGTGGAAGTTTTTTTTTTTTTTGAGATAGAGTCTCACTCTGTTGCCCAATGTACTTATTCTTCTTATTTTCACTAAATAACAAATATTTATATTGTGCTCACTATGCACAGGCACTGTCTTAAGAGTTTTTACTGTCTTAGAGAGAACAACACTGAAATAAGAGATCCCAAGCTTCCACATTGCCTCTTATGCCATATAAAATACTATAGTTTTTAGGGCAATAAACTTTCTTATATCTCCAGCCTGTGTATGTTTTAAGGCATGATACTGCTATTCTTCTCTAAGCTTATAAAACTAAAACTGAAGCATATCTTATTTTTAAATTAACTAAAATAAATTTATGTAGGGAGAGGTATGTTTAGAAAAAATTCCACAGCTGATTCTGCTTTTGTACCCCTCAACCCACCCTCCTTCATTTGAGAAAAAAAATATAAAACAGCATATATTTGTTTCTTTTAAATAGCTAAAATTTAAAGTATACTTTCATCTCCTCACAACCAAAAAAAGAGAAATAGCAATTGATACAGGTAGGAAAGCATAAAAAGCTGGGTTGAATTTATAGCATTGTTTCATTTTCTGAAAACTTTACATATGGACCAGGGTAAACACAGACACCTCAATTATAAATGAAACTGCCAACTACTTTCACCTGTATTTACAAACACAGTCTAAGAAAACATGTATTTTTTATTTGTAATATTTATTTCCAATATAATTCTACAAGAGGATGTACCATTGCTTCTAAGTTTTAAGTCAGTTAATTTTGTAAAAGCACACAAATATATAAATGATAAAACAATTTTTGATGGACATATTTTAAGATGAATGATGAAACTGGAGGCAACCCAATTTAAGGAATTTAAAGCCATCAAAGTATTAGCACAACAAGTTATCTCCTCAGGAAAAATTTGACTGAAAATTAGAACTGTTTCACTAGGATTTAAAAAAAATTACCAGACAGATTTTCTTTATGTCTCAAATTTCCCACACGAAGGAAGGAGGAAGGAAAAGGAGGAGAAAATAATAGCAATTTCACATAATAATGTCAGAAAAATGTTGACAAAATTATATTTGTAAATGAAATAATTTGTTCAAGCAGCAAAGGGAGCCAATGTATTGTTATTTTAATTTTTTCTTTAAGTGTTGGGAATATTCTCAGTTGCTATAACAGAAAAATATCACTTAATTTTAAAATTACAAATTTGATGCCTTATTTTTTATCATTATGTGATCTTTAATATTTTTAATTAAGTGTAACAAGTTACATGCAAAAAGTTGGTAATGTTATATAAAATTTTGGAAGATGTTTAACCCTTGGCATTTCCAATGTAAGCAGTAACATTCCCTCAGCTAATTCTTTAAATGCGAACCAACTATATTACTTGACTACCACAGCTAACACCACAGGGAAAAGATTATGTAATGAGGCCGGGCGTGGTGGCTCACGTCTGTAATCCCAGCACTTTGGGAGGCCGAGGTGGGCGGATCACGAGGTCAGGAGATCGAGACCATCCTGGCTAACACAAGTGAAATCCCGTCTCTACCAAAAATACAAAAAAAATTAGTCGGGCGTGGTGGTGGGCGCCTGTGGTTCCAACTACTCAGGGAGGCTGAGGCAGGAGAATGGCGTGAACCCCGGAGGTGGAGCTTGCAGTGAGCCGAGATTGTGCCACTGTACTCCAGCCTGGGCGACAGAGCGAGACTCCGTCTCAAAAAAAGATTATGTAATCAAAATGTTATTTAAATTAACAATATTAATTGTCTAAAGTGTCACAAATGTAAAGGAACCAAAATTCTATTGGACTGCCTAGTTTGTCTATTTGTACTTTGAGAAGGTACTTTAAGGGTTAAAAACTTTTTACAATCAAAAGGTCACAATGAATTGAAAAAAATGAAAACCTCACTCAAAAAGCAAACAGGCTCCCTCCCTCAATTCTTGGTACCTTTCTAATTCACTCTTCACACTATTACCAAACTAATCTCAAAATTCAAAAGTCATGTTACTTCCTCTCATTAACTTCCCAGCTCCTAGGATAAAGATCAAAATCTTTGACTTACAAGACCATACATGATTTGAACAGTACCCAACTTTCTACTCTCAGATCTTGCCAAACTTCCTCTTCATCTCTGAACTCCAATCATGGCAATCTCTTTTAGTAAACTGGGGATCCACCACAGGGCCTTTGAACATGCTGGTCCTGAATCTTGGAATGTTCTCCCACCTGTAC